CGCCGAATCGAGATGGGCTGGAGGCAAGAGGCGATCCAACTTTTGAGAAGCTTGTACCACTCATGCCCAGCCCACTAAGATCATGGTCAGTGCGCGACAAACGCCGGAGTCGCTCCTGCGGTGTCAAAACGTCGTCATGCAAATTCATCGGCAAGTAATCTTCCTCCATTGGGAAATTGCTTTCATCCCAGTCATCCAACGCAGTGGGCCGAGGAACGCTAGCAGAGAACACTCGTGATTTTATAGGCCGCTGGGAGTGTAGGAACCGTGGTCCGATACTGTCATTAAGAAGATCAGGCGGCGATGAACCGATGAAAGAGGAAGATGGCTTTCTCAAGTCATTAGGGCCGTAAGCTGTATCCCGAAGATTCCGGAGTGTATCAGACGGCGCAGCGCCCATTCGCTGCGCTGGCGGAGACAACTCCAGTCCGAATTTGGAGGGCACAGAGGCCGCAACCGGGCCATAACGAGCGGCGTGCGAGATCCCCTGGCTATCAAAAGATGCAGGAAGTGGGGCATCAAGTGCAGTCAAATGATGATGATGGCTTGGCGACATAGGGAAGCGCAGATCGTCAACCGGTGAGCCGTACTTTGAGCCAGCATCCGAAACCAATCCAGTATCAATGGTAGGGATGGCATCATAAGGGGGCTGCTGCTGCTGTTGCTGTTGCGCATGCAACGGAGTATATTCATCCTGGGGTGGCATCTGAGAGCTATACCGGGGATCATGGCCATTCAATCGTTGTTGGGAAAGGACCGAGTTCGTCAGCGCGGAGTCCTGGTTGACGTAGGCCTGTGGGTTGACACGCCCGCCCAGATTCAGATGGCTTCCTCCCATTGCCATTCCCGGACTGGGACGATTGACTCGGCGACCATCGGGTAGGATATGCGCCAGTGCACACTTTGCTCCAAATTTACAGTTTCCCTATAATTGTCCCCAAATGCAGTCAGCCCCATGTAGTCCCATCAGGGGTCGACTGAGCATGCTCGGTGCAAGGAGCCAACGGTCATGATATCACCAATTCCCTACCTTTGTGAAGTACTTGCAGGGCGCATAATCGATCGCGGCATCGGTAGAATGGAGGAAGGGACATGCCGGCCCGGCCTGGCAAGCTCCTTGACGGAAGAACTTGCAAGGCACATGCTTGGTGTCTGCGCGACAGTTGCCTTCAAGTCAGCATACATTCAACTCTCGTGGTAAGTGGAATGAGTAGCCATGGGACGAGCGAGAGAGAGACCGTCTGGAGTGCAGAGGAATCGACAAGTCTCGCGTGCCAGTGCGAAGCGGCGGTGGGGGGGGGCAGAGAACAAGAAAGATAGGAGACAACATACTGCTCTGATTAGGAGGGCTGCGGGCAGCCATGTCGAAGCCCGAGACGTTGCGGGAATGGCCGTTCTGGAGAGCCTGTGGGCCGGAGGGGACCGGGAGAGGAGCGCGGCTTTTCATCTCACCCGATACACGGGGTTGAGGACGAGCAGCGTGAGAGGACGAGGAGGAAGAAGATGAAGAAGAAGGAAGGGGTTGCGGGGGTGGAGGATTGCGAGAAGCCGACAGCTGCATCGCCAGATAGAGCAGCAGCAGCAGCAGCAGCAGAAGGCCGGTAGTAGTAGCAGTAGTAGTTAGCAAACGAACAAGATTAATTAGCGGCGTTGGGTTCGGCGGGCGGCAGAAGACGGCGGGCGGCGACGAGCACAAAAATCCGGAGGGGTTTATCGGTGGAACGGGGAGGGAAGGAGGAGGAGGGGGGGCGAGATTTCCACGGCTTGGTTTTTGCTGGTGGGGATGATGGATGATGGATGAGGAGGAGAAGATCACCGAAAAGTAGAGAGAGAAACCACGCTGCTTTGGCGGTGTAGTCGCAAAGTGAATTAATTAAATCGTTATAGTTCACTTGAAGGTTTTTTTTCTATTTCACTTCTCCAGATTGTGAACAATTAGTTCTCAAGTCTCTCAAGTCTCCGTCTCCATCTCCCGACCGGTTGGGAATGCTTACACCTCTTTTAGTACGTACGTACGTAGTAGTTGCCCGATTGCCTCCAAAACTTTGAGATATTTCTTTTTTATGTCAGGCAGAATCTCGCAATCAATTTAGTCCTATCGGAATTTTTGTTCTTCCTCTCCTCTGAAACAAATGAAGTGTTGACTTTTCGAGTGAGTGAACAATAGCTTCAGGAGAAAGAGAGCGGGCAGACTTCTACTCTTAAGAGGGAGGGAGAGAAAAATCATGGATGGACGGTGATTAAGAAACTTGCAACTATTTAGTTTCAATTATACTCTCAATCTTGAATTTCTGATCATTTTATTGCCCTCTCCCCACTAATTTTCCCTTTCTCTTTCTTTCCCTCCCCCCCCCCCTCTCTCTTTATCTTCTACCTTTCCACCAAACACCCCTCCTCTCCTCCTCCCCCTTCTCTAGTACGATCTCCACACATCTCTATAGTCCATACAGTACAATTCGGAAAACCCAATTGCTGGACACTCACGCTGGCTACTACATTGAAAGATTTACGTCCATCACCCAACATCACATCATCACGCCTTGTCTCTTTGTGCCAACAACCGCAGGGCCCGGGGGCGCATGACGGTCTCCCGATGCAGAAAGGCAAACCGGCGTCAAAAGCCTCTCTGGTGGCGTCAGATCGAGTCTGCAACAGCTCCTGACTGTGTCGCATGCTTCCTTCCTCCCCTCAGTTGACAGCCCCATGCTTCACTGTGCCTTGTTGAATCATGAAGATCATCCAATTATTCGTTCGGATGACACCTGTCGGATTGTTCATCTGATCGTCCCCCTACCCCCATCTTGCGGCCCTAGCTTTTTGCCTCAAAGCAGCTCTCCGGCCTAGGCTGCTTAGCTCTCCTCGGCTTCTGCTCGTCAAATCACACCCTCCTGATCCCGCGCAGGGCGGAGCGGCTGCCGATCAGCCAGATATCTATCTACTTGCTCGCTATCGGATCGTCCCCACACTCTCACGTTGTAGCTGGTGGCACAACATCTGCATCTTTTCCGTACCATGTACCATGTACTGTGTACTCCGTAATCCTTGTAAATTCCCGATTGAGCGATCGTATTCCCATTAGATAAATCACGGCTCATACAGTGTATAGTATCAATTAGCCATAGGAAGATTCAGGATTGTGGACCAGTGTTTGCTTGTGACTAGGTCGAACAGGCAGACCTCTGCCTCTCAGTTTCATCATCACTTGAGAAATGGCCCCTCCAATCCCAGATTCTCCTTCATCTCGACATCGTTAGCGTGTCTCGATATCAATGCAGGCCAGTGGTGTTCATCCGTCTTACCCATAGTTCTTCTCGGCTCATGTTGTCGGGCACAACTTCCGAACATATCCGCCATAGATCGCGACAAACCCGGCCGCGCACCTTGGCCTGATTCTGCCAATGTTTCCAGTCTCTTTCAGCATCCACTTTTACCTGCACGGGTACAGTCCCTGCGTCGCTCCCTCGCGCCTGCACCAGGCGTGCACGGATTGCCTCATGTTCTTGCTCAAACTGACCGACGTCCCGTCGAAGCTCGGAGAGCAAGGGTCTTGCACAGATAGTTGCTAGCTCCGCTCGCGTCTTTTTCTCTGCAGCCTCAAGACTGGTTACTTGCTCCTGCAGTTTCTCAGCCTGCTCATCCAAAGCTGCAATGATCTCGGGCGTCACTTCGGTGGACGTCTCCTGTAGGGCGTGATATACTATCTGTTTCCCTGATGTATCGCGAATCAGTTTATCTTTCCATCCCATTGCTTATTTATCCGTATATGCTTGTGGTCTGCTTACCAGCAGCCCGTCCTTCGATTTGTTTGTTCTGATGTAGTTCTCGTAGAGCTTTTGCAGCGTGTGCTATTATATATACAGCTTTAGCATGAAAGTCTCACAAAGGCCTCGCCTTCAAGATAGAAAAGAGCCTACCTTTTGTAATTTTATTGTGCAGATTCACCGAAACCTCGGTAGCCTGCCGTACTATTAGCCGTGAAAGACTCTTCCCTACCTTCCTTTACCACCATCATTAAAATCATGATGAAAACCAACCGAATAAGGACGACTGTCTCGTTGACAACACACATCAAATTAGTTAAATGACAACGCCCACCAGCCTACTCAACTGAGTGGAAGAGAACTATACTTTTGTTTTCCTATCAAGCAAGCACGGTCAGCAATTACAAGACGCCTCAGAGAAAGCAGACTAGCAAGTGGTAGCTTAAGCTCACGGAGATACTCAAGCACTAATGCAGGACCATCAGGAGCAGCGGCTTTTCCAAGTTCACTTTGTTAGCTGTGCATAAGCCAGCTCGACTGTATTTCCAGAGATTGTGAGTTGCTCACATCCGGCACCCAGCTGCTTCTCATTTTTCGCCTTTCTCTGGGCCATGGGATTGCGTTGCTCGGATTCTTTCGAGCAGGATTGAAGAAGGAATTGGAGAGGATAAATCAAGATATGAGATGTGGGATTCAGCGAATGATAGGCCCGTTGTATGCCTGGATCATCACGTGGGCCACAGGATAGGGTTCTCATCTGGAAATGGAAGGTAGTGGATTAAAATTATCTAGAAAGAAAAAAAAAAAAAAAATCTGTTGCCTTCAGGCAGGCTGACGACGCGAGCTGAAATCGAAGGGGCCAAACGATATAGGACAGACAAAGGCCTGGTCCTGCTGCAAGATACTTGGTCCTACGCCGTTGCATGTAAATCATGATACCGAAACAAAACATCACATCAAAGAGCAAATTGGAGTAAAAAAGAAAAAAAGGGAAGATTCAGAACAACAGGGTGAACGACATATGCAATCCTTAGATGGCCCAAGACACGGGAAGAAAACACTATGCATCTTCTCGTCTACTGACCATCCGATTTTCCAACACTCCAAATCATCTACATTAATAGATCCTGTACGCAAGGGTGAGAAAAGAAGAAGAAAACCCCACTCCCCAAATTTTTTTTGTCCTTTTGAATATGGCACAGATGAAGAAAGACCAAAAGTAAGAGATCTTCAAGGGTATCACATGACGATCTGCGCGTAGTTAGCTTGATGACAGCGTCTTTGAAATTGAGATATTTAAGGGAGGAGGTTACATACGCAATCATTGTCTTTCTGGACAGTCGGGACACCCATCTCCTCGAATGTTTTGGGGCCCTTGCCTGGCAGGTTACCATGCTGTTTAGCGGATGCGGGTTTTTGGCTAGATGTGCTTGAAGCCGTGGAGGGAGGCTTGGGAGTCGAAGTTGAGGGAGGAGGCTTAGGTGTGGAAGCAGACGATGATGAGGGCCGGGGCGTCGCTGCAGCACCGGGCGGTGGCATGGATTCAGTCCGTGGGGGATATGCTGCCGTGGAAGGCGAGGCAGGCGGCCTAGGAGAGCCCATCGGTCCACCCTGGGAGTGGGGAGACGCAGGGCCCCGCACAGGTCTCCTGTCTGGAGGAGGCATGTTGTCCAGTCGCTGAGGACGTCTGCGAGCATCGGGGTGAGGATTCTCGAGGGGTGCTGAGTAGCCAATATCGAGTTTAGGTGCTGCCGACGCTGGGCTTGTTGGGCTAGTCGTTGATGGCGTACTGGGGCCTGGTGAGCGGTATCCCATGGCGCTAGGCCCGTACGAAGCAGCACGGTTGTAGTTGGGCGCGTTCGACCGAATATTCGGGTTGATTCCAAATGCAGAACTCGGCCGGGGGTCCGCACCCATTGGATATCCTGGCGGATACACAGGTCGAGCACGAGATCCCGGTCTGTCAGGGTAAGGAGCGGGCGCGGCGGGTGGGTTATCTGATAGAGTCATTCTGGAGGGATCGGGCATTTCGAGATTCTCCTGAGGCGGCTTCAAGGGGGGCCCTCGCGGGCCATTGCCATAGCGAGTCGACTTGATCCGGGCAATCGCAACCTGTTCATGATCCTTCCTGGATAGGGTCTTGGAGCGCGAGATGCTATCGATCCGGCCAGTCGCGTCTTTGTTTCCATTTGCTGCAGCTTTGGCATACCAGCTCCTGGCTTCTTTGATATCCACCGGAACGAAGATACCGACTTCGTAGAAATAGCCCAAGGCGAACTCAGCGGTGGGGAATCCACTTTGAGCCGCACGTTGAGCATACATGAACGCCAATTCATCATTCTTTTCAAAGACCCCCTCATGGCCGCAGAGGAACCATTTGCTGATAGCCATCTCTGCTTCTGGCTCGCCTTGGCGTGCAGCCAGCGCGTTGTAGTGCAAGGACAATGCAGGGTTGAAATCACAGCTAAGTTGGCACAGTTCATAGGCCGCACCCATCTTGACTTGGGCCTTAGCGAACCCATGGTAAGCAGCCTTCTCGATGTTGACGCGAGCAGCATTCAGATCGAGCGGCAAGAACTGCTCAGGAACGTTTACCTGCGGCAGCTCTCGTGCCAAAAGCATACCGTAAACCTACACAACATGTTAGAGCTCTGGTTACCAAGAGGATAAGTAGGCGGACGCACGTAAGCTCCCTGAGGCGCATTTTCGTCGCAGGACTGCGCAGCAAGGCTGATATAGTTGAGACCCATTTGATAGTCTTGGCGTTGTCCATGCTGTCCCAGAAGGATCATCATTCCCAGGCGCTATTGATCAAAACATCAGCATTCGCTGGGGCGCGATAATGGGGAGGGGTCATACGTAGAATGAAGCCGAGTCTGCGAGCGCAACCCCCTTCTCGTAATGCTTGATGGCTTTCTCTGGCTCTCCCGAACTCTCGAATTGCATGCCGATACGATACTCGGCTCTTGCGTAGCCTTTCTCCGCAGCTCTCGAATAGGCACGGAAAGCCTCCTTCTTGTCCACGCGGTATCCAAACTTGCCAAACTCCAGCCACATTCCCTTGATGAATTCGGCCTTGGGATGATATTGCTCCGCTAAAAAGTTGACGATATTCATCGCATCGAGTTTCAGCTGCCGCTCCGCCGGAGGGGTCTGAGGGCGCGGGGGCTGAATCAACGACAGACGAGCCTCATTTTGCATAGCAACTTCCACATAGGCGAGCGCATCCTGCGCCCAGGCCAACTGCATATCAGGATCATTTGACGACAGCACGGCCATGCGGGCCCTCTCCAAGTTTACCTCCCTCTGCTCATCGGTCGGGGGGACGTTAGGTGGAGGATTGCGCAGGACTGGGAATGGCGAAAAGTTGGGGGCGTCCATAGTGTCGTGGACAGCGGCTTGCTCAAAACGAGCGGAATCGTAGGCGGCGGTTGGGGAAGCCTGACCCTGAGCGACCGCAGAGGTAGTTCGTTCAGGGTAACGCGAACGATCATACTGGTTGTGGTGGGGGTTTCGGGCCTCGTGTTCGAGGTGCGCGATATTATCCTGCATGTTCTCCGGGACTTCTGGCATGACCCTAATGGAAGGAGGATTTATCGATTAGCAACACGCCAACCTAGGTACTCCGTACAAGGCCAGGAAAAGACAGGGTTTTCAATTTGGGGGGAGGTGTGGTGATTTCCCCTTTTTGTCTGAAGAATGTCTTTTCTTTTTTATTTTTTTCCTTATGACCGCTGTCATCCGAGGGGAGGTTTCGCACCTTTGAGGAGAGGGGGATATGACCTCCGGCATGTAGAAATCATCCTGGCCCCCTGGATACCAGGTAGCACCCAGCCGTGGCTGACCGTGACCTTGGGGTGGCCTATTCATCTTCGGCGAGATTCTCCGTTTATTGGACGGTATTGCTTTTTTCACCCGTGTTAGTTTTGTTTCCACCTTACCCCTGCTGAAATTGGCAAAGAAAAATAAATTGTCACTCGTCTCGGACTGGGCGCCAGTCAATAGCGTGTTTGGCACTTTTGGCTGGGCTCAGCGGTTCATCGGAACCTCTCTCGACTTTCGAGAGAAAAAAAGTAGAGCCGGCGTGGGGACTGCCGAGTAGTGGTGGAGGACTAACTAACTAGTAAGTCGTTCTCCGAGAAGGGGGAGGGGGGGGGAAAGAAGGGGGGGCGCAGTCACGACTAACTACTGTTACTGAACTGATTTGGACTAAGATATAACGGAACACGAAGGAAGAGAGGGCGCGCGTAAGGGCTTCTTCACATCTAACTAAGCATTCTCTAGCAGGCAAAAGAGATAACTAGACAGGGAAAGAGAGTGTGTGATATATCCATTTGAGTCTGGGAGTGGACGCTAACAGACTAGTTATTTCCCTGGCACTCATTTAGGTGGCCATGATACGCAGTATAGGTGATACAAAGAATAAGATTAATCTTACTGTCGAGTACGGGAGAAAGAGGGGAGGGGGTTTGTCATTGGGAAGAGGGGTTGGAGGGGGAGAAGGAAAAGAAAAGACAAGACCAGGAACCACCACAGTACTAACTAACAGTACGGACTTCCTTGCAGCCTACCAGGCAGTCCCAGTACGTAGATAGTAGATTAGCATAGTACAGTAGTAGTAACACTAGTAGTAAGTATGGAGTTCTACTAAGTACTTTTTACTAGTAAGGCTCCTCCTCCACAGGGAAACTCCATAACGACTGGACCACTAATAACTAGTTAACTACTGAAGTAGTCTTCGTATTAATCATCATTTCTTCCTCTGCATGGTTCGGGTAGTAGTTAATTACCTACTATTATTTAAGAAGAAACTAGTGCAGGCAACAATTGAAGAAGAGACTAGAAGACGAAAGATTGTTACTCGTTCATTTTCATTCGAGTTTTACTACGAGCAAGTAATCCACATCAGTTGCTTAAGTAGGGGAGATTAATTTTACTGATGCCGGAAGATTTTTGGAAATTAAAATAGTAACTCCTGAATATCTATTTAGAAAAGTTAACTAGTTAGTTATCTATCTGATGTGAGGTAAGCAGGCACTAGCCCAAATATTTACTTAGTTAAGTAACTTACTACAGTAAGTAACTGTTACGGAGGAGTTAACTACATATGGATAAGATAAGTTACATACTGTACATGTATATTTACAGTACCTGACCATCATCCTGAGAGTGAGAAGCAGAAGTTTAGGGGCAGAACGTAAGCAACGATTTATTCTAAATTCGATGTGAAAGGAGGAATCAGAACTGAGATGCTGAGTACTTTCATGGGAACCATACTTTTCAGCCTGATGGATGGCCAGCTATTTTTATCGCGACAATCGCACTACCTCTCCGTATTGGACTAAGCGCCCAGGGTGTCCGTTAGACTAGTGATGGAAGCCCCTTCCAGAAGGAATCTTACCATACCTGACAGGTACACCCGCAAAGACTTCCCCCTTCCTCACCCTTCTTCTTGGGCCAGTCATCTTCAATCCATAATAATGACTTGTGTGGAAAACAATCGCTGAGCAAAGCGAGAGCGCAAAATACAGCATCTACAGGCACATCGCACATGAAGTGTCATCGAGAAATAAGAGGTCGGACCTTTTCTTCGAGTTTAGGTAAGTAATCTCTTGGCCTCTGTTAGCCATCCTCTGTGGTGGACCCAAGCCTGGAATTTTCACCTTTGTTGGTAATGTGTAACCACCATCAGAGAGTAACTAGTAGGCGCGGCTTTCCCCTCCATATAACTTGCATATACATAGTAGGCATATCAGCCTATAGTCTACACCTAGCGACGTGAGGTGCTATGCTAACATTTGATCCTCTTCTTTTTGAAACATTAGCTGGCAGGTGATTGAGATTGTCTTCCTTAACTGGTCGAACGCAGTTTGAAAGTATTCTACCGTCACGGGCATGAAGTACTGACAGTGGTAAAAGCATCGGTGCTTGGCGTTCCACTACCTGAGCATATAGACTTTGTTTGTCTCATCTACTTCGGGCTGCCGTTTAATTTTGGCCAGTGCTCAGCTTCGGGCTGCACCACCACCAATGGAACTCGAGCGTAACGATTTTCACCATCCTTATTCGCCTTATGACATCCAACTGCAGTTGATGCGGGCGCTTTACTCTTGTCTCGAACAAGGAAAAGTTGCTGTTTTTGAGTCCCCTACTGGTAAGCCGTGTAAGTTTCGTGCTAGATCCTTTTGCAGCTAATATAGCGAATCCCAGGAACTGTAAGTAATATTCTCATTTCATTTTACTCGTTCGATTCCAGGCGAACGTATACAGCAGGTAGTTCTTGATCATCACCATATACTATCTAGTAGCTCAGGAACACCTGGCTTAGGTAGCATAAGCTGGAGAACTCACCGAAATGTGCCGTGGGGTCATGGAATATGGCTGAACAACTTCCCAGGGAAAATCCCTAAGTTTAATATGCGGTTCCTTGACGTGGCTGAGAGACCACAAGCGTTCCGCCTTCCAAACGGCGGTTGACACTGCCACATGTTAGGCTCCTCGTTACTGGATAGCTGAATTTCTTCACTAATCGGACTCTAGGCGATGATGACGAACCTGAATGGATGCTGGATTTTGCCAGGCGTGAGTCGAGCCGGAAGTTGACCGAGAAAAGGAAGGATCTTGAAGAGAGACTAGAAAGGACGAGAAAGGAAGAAGAACAGCAAAGGATCGCGCTAGATAACCCCGAAGGACCCCGGAAAAAGCAGGTATGAGGTTCAGCAATACTTCTCTCTCGTTATATCGGCTGACTCAAGATTCGTCGGTGCAGAAATACAGTACACCATCAACTGAAACTGGTGGGCTAAGCGAAGATCACTTTGCGCTGGATGACTACGACAGCGAGAATGAAGAGCATAGCAAACAGCGGAGTGGACTGGCCCATACTAGCGAACTATCTTCTAGTACACTAGAATTGTTGGAACGCTTCAAAGGACAGTTCTCGACCGCCAAGCCAGGGGGTGACGATGAAGGCAATGACGAAGTCAAGATATTCTATTGCTCCCGGACACACTCCCAGTTAAGCCAATTTGCTGGTGAACTGAGACGCGTCAAAATGCCATGGAGCATACCAAAGGACTTGTTGAGTACTGACTTGACAGGAGAAGAAGAACTCGAGGAGCGTGTGAAACATGTCACTCTTGGTTCTCGGAAGAACCTCTGCATTAATCCCCGTGTCAGTTCTTTGGAGAATGCAACAGCGATTAATGAGCGCTGTTTAGATCTACAACAGCCCAATGTGAATCCTCAGCATAAATGTCCATTTCTGCCATCCAAAGAAGATGAAAGACAAATTCTTCAATTCCGGGACCATGCATTATCAACAGTGAAGGACATTGAGGACCTGGGAAAGCTTGGTAAGAAGATTGGAATATGCCCTTATTATGCATCCCGCTCTGTTGTTAAGAATAGTGAGGTTTGTTGCCTTCGAGTCCGACCTTCAACCTACCTAGTAGCTGATGAGTGGCAGATCGTGACACTACCATATCCCTTGCTGTTGCAACGCTCAGCGAGAGAGGCTCTCAATCTATCTGTCAAGGGGCATGTCATAATAATCGACGAAGCCCATAATTTGATGGACGCAATATCCAACATACACTCGGTAACGGTGACGCTTTCACAATTGCAGACCTCTCTTTCTCAGTTGACTATTTATGCCCGCAAATTCAAAACTCGCCTGAAGGGGAAAAACAGGAGCTATGTTGCTCAGGTTATCCGGCTCCTCAGTTCAATCGCTGCTCATCTTCGGTCACTCCTAGAGAGTGGAAAGGCACCGGAGGGCCCGGTTCTGGCATCTGAACTCATGTCTGGAAAGGGGGTTGATCAGATCAATCCTTATAAACTGAGTCGATATTTACAAGAAAGCAAATTAGCAAGGAAAGTTGATGGTTATGTTGAGTTCACTAAAGATCCCTCAAACAAGCAGGTGCCTGGAAATCCTACGGTGCCTGTACTGTTTCACATACAGGGATTTCTTCTGTCTTTGATGAACCCATCTGCCGAAGGGCGATTGTTCTACTTGAAGGAACAGGGAGATATCCAATTGAAGTACATGCTTTTAGACCCTACCAATCAGTTTCGGGAGCTTGTGGAGGATGCAAGAGCCGTCATATTGGCTGGCGGGACCATGTCACCCGTAAGTTTCAACGGCTATCAATGGTAGTATATTGATATCTCACAACTTGGGCAGATGACAGACTACATGAACCATCTCTTCTCGTATGTCCCAGCCAGTCGCTTAGACACGTTTAGCTACGGCCATGTCATACCACCTGAGAATTTGATCGCTCACACACTTGTACGGGGTGTTCAAGGCTCAGACTTTGACTTTACCTATGATGTCCGTGACTCTGAGAAAATGGTGAGAGCATTCCTCTTTCGACGTCTAGCAGCATTCTCGATCTGAAAAGAAGCTGACCATTGTTACGTCGGCGTTCAGATCATGGATCTTGGAAGGACAATAGCTACGCTCTGCCATGTCATCCCCGACGGCGTAGTGGCATTCTTCCCCAGCTACGATTATCTTGGCCGGGTCCTGAGCATCTGGAAGAAGCCAATGCTAGGCGAGCAAGGCCAGACTGTGTATGGCTTGATTGAGCAAAAGAAGCCTATACTGTCTGAGTCCCGGGAGATGACAGTCACTACCGAGGAACTGCTCCAGACGTACGCGAAAACTGTTGATTCTGGCAGAGGTGCGCTTCTCCTGTCTGTTGTGGGCGGCAAACTGTCGGAGGGCATAAATTTCTCCGACAAACTCGGACGGGCTGTGTTGATTGTGGGACTGCCCTTTCCGAATATACGGAGTGCAGTTTGGCAAGCCAAGATACAGTATATTGAGCAGAAAACACACCAGCAAGCTGCAGGCTCTGAGGCAAGTCGGCAATCAGCAGCAAAAGCAGCAGGGAGGGACTTCTATGAAAACTCCTGCATGCGAGCAGTGAACCAATGTATTGGGCGAGCCATCAGGCACCGTAACGACTATGCGGCAATTGTTCTCATTGACAGACGTTATGATAAGCCCGGCATCCAAGCGAAGCTACCGGCTTGGATCAAACAGAGTATGGTAGGCAGTTCGGTCCAACGACCTGCTGGTGCTACAGTTCAAAGTTTGGCGAAGTTTTTTGCCAGCAAATCAACCTGAGTTGATCTCGAATAGTATATTAGACTAGTTCAAAGTATTACCACTTATATGATTTCACACATGTTCAGGACATTATAGACTTATTTGGCGGACGGTTAGTTATTGAAATTATTCGAGAGGAACCGATCTAGTAGATCTATAGTTAGTACTCCGTAGATCTAACAGAGAATGTTCTATGAGCGGTTATGTAATCCAGTGGCGCAGGCGTTGGGGCACGTGATGGTACTGCGCCCAGCCGCCAAAGGCAAGCCGCAGGGTTGGCCCTAAGTTAGGGCAAGCGAATTAGCGCACACTCTAGCCGCCCCGGAGCCTTGATTTCAACATCTGAGCCAGCAGTATACACGACCGCATCCCCCCATCGCCAACCCTCAGACCGGTCTTGTCGAGCTCAGCACCGTCGACAAGATGCCTACCCGTTTCTCGAAGACAAGGAAAGCGTGAGTCGCTTCACTTCTCCCTTTCGCCTCCGGTGGTCGACCGTTTCGTTTGTCGTGGTCAATTTGCGACAGGCTTGAGGCCTCATCCGACCACCGTCCGCCCCGTCTACCAGAACAACAAGAAAACTGACTTTTGTGTCCTCTTCCTTAGCCGCGGTCATGTTTCGGCCGGTTACGGTCGAATTGGCAAGCACCGTAAGCACCCCGGTGGTCGTGGTATGGCCGGTGGTCAGCACCACCACCGCACCAACCTCGACAAGTACCACCCCGGTTACTTCGGTAAGGTCGGTATGAGGTACTTCCACAAGACCCAGCAGCAGTTCTGGAAGCCCACTATCAACCTTGACAAGGTACGTTTAAATTCGACACTACGATCCCAAATCGAGATGTGGGGAAGAGAAGTCGGAAGAGGAGAAGGCGCAAGGGGTGGACATTCGTTGTCAGACGATGTGGAAGAAGATTAGGAGATGGAATGGAATAGGAGCGCAAGAACATATGAGATTGGAATACGTTTGCAAGGATGTGGATGGCTGATAGATTGTCTTTACAATATAGCTGTGGTCTCTCGTCCCCGCCGAGAAGCGTGATGCCTACCTGAGCGGCCAGAAGACCGACACCGCCCCCGTCATCGACCTCCTTCCCCTCGGCTACTCCAAGGTTCTCGGCAAGGGCCGTCTCCCCGAGGTCCCCATCGTCGTCCGCGCTCGCTACTTCAGCCGGGATGCTGAGGAGAAGATCAAGGCTGCCGGTGGTGTTGTTGAGCTCGTTGCTTAAGTGTGGAAAGTCTGGGATTTCACTTGGAGGATGAAAAACCGGGACAGGTGCTGCGCTGGCTACGATTCGGTGTAATAGAGATTCGAATTCTCCCCGGGGAATGAGAAAAACAAAAAATGGGAGCCGCGGATCGGGCACCTTGATCCGTGTATTTACAAATTCAAAAGGGTTTCTATTTGTGACGAGCAAAGAATGGCCTCCGGATGCCCTTACGATCACGCTCTATTATTGAACAATACCATAAAGGAGGACAACCTTTTTTTTCTGTGGATATGTTCGCTCTTCCCCGACCTATGCTGCTACAGAGTATTCCGGGCTATGGCTTCTATCTTTGAGCATGAGGGCAAGGCTCTTGAATACGGTTGTTTTGAGGATGAGCCAGCAGCGCCGGTTTTGAGGATGTATATCCCAGATCTGAAATGCCCATTGGAGTTGCAGCAATTACAGAATGCGTAGACCACTGGACGGACTATGACCTCCCTCTTGACTCCGAAGTTCGGGGGTTTATGGCTCTAGTTCATGCCCATTGCCCGGCTACTGTAACCCTCCGTAGGATCCGTATGATAATGACCATAATATGGTGCGTGTAGTAGAGGACCATATTACGTGATGTAGATAGGTACCGGGAAGTTTATATATGTCTCTAGTATGTAAAACAGCGGTCGTAGTACATCCGGACAGAGGAAGGAGTCTAGATCTTCGATTCACGCACCGACCCCACCTTCTCTGGGGCTTTGTTGCTGGCCTCCAGGGTTTCACGAACGAAACGAGTTGCCTCATCCATCATTTTCCCGGTCATATCGTGTCCAGCCTCTTCATCAATGATGTCTTCCAAGGTCACAGCACCATCAGCAAACCAGCCCTGCGAAGCGACAGCCTGCTTTAACCAAGCCAAGAACACCTCCCCACGATGATAAGGGACCAATTTGTCCTTGCCGCCAGCCAAATTGAGAATCCTCTTTCCGGCTATGGAACGGGCAAGGAGCGGTCGCAACGCAGCCTTCTCGCTCTCCGTCGGTTCGGGCAATGGTCCACTGCGAAGAGGACCGACACCCGAGGCCGACTTCACGTGGCTCAAAAACAGACCTGCCGGATCGTACTTCCTCACAGCATCCAGTAGAGAAGAAGGAAAAGCCTCGGAGCCGAGGAATTGAGAGCCTGGGATGTCAGTGCTCGTCCACGATGGCAACTTCGATAATCTGGCCCGATCAGCCATCAGATTCACGTAATCCGGGCAGCCGATGACCACGACCCCGGCGCTTATGCGAGGTTCATGCAGAAGGCAGCTCCATGCTGCATGGCCGCCCAGGGAAACACCCAACACCAGATTATCGACGATCTTGCGATCGGAGTGGGGGAACACATAAGAGGGGAGGTAATCGATCAGAAGAGATACGTCTCGGGCAGTACCCTCTGTGGTTCCAGAAGGAAAGTGTTAGAGTCAACATTTTCCTCTGGTAGCAAGTGACTCAACTTACGAAAGATTGAGAACATATCCTGGGCATGACGAGGGTTTCCCTGTCTCCATGCTTCATTGGCCAGTGGATCTACCTCTCTCGTTCCATGATTGCGTTGATCGAATGCGACAGCAATCAGGCCCTTAGTGGGGTTCCTGGAATTCCAATCCGCGATGATGGTCGTCCCAATGCCTGTCATACGTTCTTGGGTACCTCCTCTGGGATGTAAAAGCCACAGACAGGCAATGTCGGAGGTTTGTGTGGGGAGTTCATCAAGACCGTAGACCGTGGTTTGGATCCCCGCAATTGGGTATGTCTTTCGCGAGACGGTTGAAGCGTCGCCGTAGCGGCTTGCGTTGTCAAGTGTCTTTATGGGATCAGCCATACTTTGTTGCTTGTTTTGTGGATGTCTTGGGATTTTCTTTTGCTGGGTGGCTATAACGCAGTGACGAGGAATTGGTTGAGGGGTTTTGGTTAATCGGCGATGGTAAGTAATTTGCCGATATATATCCAACTGCCTCGGAGGTACTTTACCGAGGGGTGTTGCGAGAGAAGCACTACTACTCCACTATTTCTAGAAGTGCCAGGGGAGCTCTCCCAGTGGAAAACATGGCTGAACATGACGGGGTTTGCATTGCACAGTAACAAGTACCCTACCTGTACATCCAGTATGCTCGGCTATATAGTACCAGGTTATGATGCGAGTATGTGAACATCCAGCTGGTCTGCGATATATTTTTGAACTGCCCCAATCATGCTAAGAGGAAGCGGGATACTATTAGGGGGGAGGGCCGTACTTGGGAACACGCCGTACCCGAATTACAACAGGGGATTCAAGTGACAATCGCATGTACTGTTCACATAAGCGTTTGAGTATTAGCATTACAGCGTCCAGATTATATACCCTTGATGATTTACCTACAGTCAACCACCACATTTTCAAATTGTAGTCTTCATTGTCAAGCGGTGAGCAAAGCGGTGACCTTTTCGACGCCGAGGATCGGACTGTGTAACTTACCTATCCACATGGGTTGGGTTTTGAAACGGTATGAAACCTGTAACCAGCCATCCTGTGGCTGGTGCTGGGCGATTGCTGCCTTAAGGCCAAAGTACCACGGTTGTGGCCTGGTTGTGCTTGGGTTCTCCCGCACGGAGTACCTTGCAAGTACCTCTCAAGTACTCCTCCGTACCTCCCTCTCCCCGTAACCAAGTATTTCGAAAGGAAGTTGTGACGGCGACGTAATCCGCACCCTTGATTTAGAACGAACTTACACATCGTATTGCGTATTTTGTAGGCCGCTGAACCTTAGCGGTCTCTTCTCTTCTTTCTTCAAGGAATGTCCTCAAAAGCAAGAAGGAAGGAAAGGGTACCTTGACTTTTTTCCTTCCATCTTTCTTCTTGGGGGAGCTATTATTTATCCTACTGTATACTTGGAGTAGCACTTATTATTGCAACCGAGGCCGAAACCCAGCCAATCTACGGAGTACCTACTTTCTGCAAGTAAGTAACTACTACTACTGTACTAGTAGATGGTCATGCAGGTGCAAAGCAGCCCCATTCTGATCTCTCATAAGGGATTCATTGATTGATTGATTGATTGATCCATCCCCCTTTCCTCCGTGTCCCAAGCCGACCAGAACCAGCAGAACTGCGCCAAAGCGGGCCTTCCGTCTCCAGTCAGACCTGCGCTTCTTCTATGGGGCGGACTCCACCGCGGCTAACCAGTGTCGCTGCTAAACCCAACGCTCCTTTCAAGTTTCACGTCCAGACGTTTCGGCCGTGTTGTCGACTATCCCCTTAATATCTCTTTACTGCTTGATCTTGCCGATCAGTCTATTGTTCCGTCCTCCGGCTGCTCTGTAATAGATATAGAATGTCCGTCTAATTGAAGATCCGAAACCCGTTCCTACAGGATCCTTTCGATCCGCATGTACGCTGCTCTTCCCCGCGCTCTTGCTTTCCCTCGAAATCCCCTCCCACCCCTGAAAGCCATTTTGCTCGCCCACTGACATTGCGCTCCTCTACGCAGTATGACCGACTCTACGGTCAATCCCTCGGAAGCGAGGGGCTCTGAGAACACCCCCAATCGGTATTACTCGCGACAAACCGAACCGATGTCGTTGGACAGCTTGAAGCTGTCATCGCCGCTTCCCTCCCCTTCCTCGACAAAGGATGATGCAGACAGAGCGGATGGAGTTGATGGCGGGGATCAGGTGGAAGCTACGCCAACGGTCAGAGGTGTGGAAGATGCTCATTCCGACACAAAAGGAAAGACGCGCGCAGAGCATGCCGGCGATTCTGGAGAGGAGGAAACGTCGAATGCCAGTCCCACCAACAAAGCGGCCTCGCTGAGCCTTCGACAACCGAACGATGCAACGGCAAATCACCAAAATTTCGGGAGCCGAAAGTCGCCAACTTCAGCCCTGGGATCATCTGCCTCGCCTCGCCGACCAAGCGTACAATTTACTCAAGACACTCCGGATGTTGATACTGCCGAGCCATCACCATCTAGGCCACCTTCGGTCAAAGGCGATGATGTGGACGCGGGCCTGAAGGGTAGACAATCCCTGCTCACAAAGTTGAAGTCTTTCGCAGCCTCGCCCTCGTTTACCTCTCATACTCGCTCGGCGAGCGGTGCGACGCTGAACGATTTCCGACCTACGAACAATGAACTAGCAACCCCTGGCTCAGAAAGAGGGGAATTTCGCTTTCCGAACACTTTGGAGGAAGAGGGGAGCGATATTGATGCAGACGCGGAAGAGAGTGCCGGGGAACAACGGGCCCGCCAGAAGAAACAGAAGAAGAAGCAGCCACGTCGTCGGCAGCAGGATGATTCGGTGCCCCCATCGCAGCCAAATACCCCCAAATTCACCAGCCGGCCATCCTTCCACTTACCGAGCTCCTTTTCCCCCTTTGAAAACTACCGCCCCAACTTCTTTCCGCGACGGGGCAGTACCGGTGATTTCACACCTCAACATCGTGAGGGTGTCTCAGAAGACGAAGGTCGTGATCGCCTGAATAGGGATACTGCATGGAGACGGAAAAGTGCCTGGCTTGCTAACGCGCGGGGCCTTACTTACAGCGGGCGCCAAATAGATGCGCCAGCAAATCAAGAGGAAAGAAGACCAAGCAACCTGAGACGGCTGACCGGGTTAGCTGGACCTTCTGAGAATGCAGAAGGAACGGCACCACCCTGGAGGCGTCATCGGGCTGACCGCGGTTCGAGCCTTAGTGCTCAAAGGTGGCGGCAGATAAAGGCAGGTCTCAAGTTGATCGGACAGCGACGCAAGGTGGATAACACAGTAGACCATGCCAAATCGGCAGAGCTACTCGCTGAGTTGACCTCAGGAGTGCCGGCCGCCTTGATACTGGCCAGCATGTTCCAGCGAGATGAACACGGTAGCAAGCGAATTCCAATTCTTCTGGAGCAGCTCAAAGTGCGGGTCACGGACAGTAAGATTGATTCTCACTCCGGAGATCGCCATCTCGTCTTCCGTATCGAGTTGGAGTATGGTAGTGGCATGACACGGATGAAATGGATCATCTACCGCACCTTGAGGGACTTTGCAAACCTGCACCTGAAGTATAAGTTGCATTTCGGGACTCAGAAGTACATCCAGCTGCGGAACACTGAAGGGGCCCAAAATCTCCCGCGCTTCCCTCGGAGTGCGTTCCCCTATCTTAGGGGTGTGCGTGGGCTGGAAAGCGACATGGAGGATGAGGAGGATGAAGGTGGATATGAAACAGCTGCGGAGGCTACTAGTGGCAATGAAAGAGCCGCAAAAAAGCAGCAGCAAGCGCATCGTCGTTCGTCGGGTGGCCTATCTCGGAGACAGTCTACCGTAACGAACCCAGAGGTGGAGGGTGCTGCTGGGCCTTCAGGCCTTCCTGAAGGAGGGCAGGCCAGTAAGAAGGAGAGCTACCCTGAAAGACAGCGGAAAAAGCTCGAGTCCTACCTGCAGAAGCTGATCCGATTTCTCATATTTAAGCCAGATAGCAACCGTCTCTGCAAATTTCTGGAATTGTCAGCCCTGGGTGTCCGTCTTGCGGCCGAAGGGAGCTATCACGGCAAGGAAGGCTTCCTGGTTATTCAGTCCTCCAAGGGTCTCGATTTCCGGCGCGCGCTGACGCCGGGCATGGTGAAGAAGCGACACTCCCCCAAATGGTTTCTTGTTAGGCACAGCTATGTCGTTTGCGTTGACTCCCCGGAGGAGATGAACATATATGATGTGTTTTTGGTGGATCCTTTCTTCAAAATTCAAACCCAAAAGGTCAGCTTGAGAAACCAAAAGGCGAAGGAGATTGCCAAATCGGCGACAGAGTCAGCCAGGCACCCACAGCATCACACATTAAGGCTCGAGAACTCGGAGCGCAAGCTTAGACTGCTGGCCAGGAATGAGCGTCAGCTCCATCAGTTCGAAGACTCCATCCGGTTCATGGTCAACAATACCCCCTGGGCGAGGCCGAACCGGTTTGACAGTTTTGCGCCGGTGCGACACAAGTGCTTCGCACAGTGGTTGGTGGATGCGCGTGATCACATGTGGGTTGTGTCGCGGGCGATCAACCAAGCGAAGGATGTCATCTACATCCATGACTGGTGGCTGAGCCCCGAGCTTTACATGCGTCGGCCTGCGGCCATCAGCCAGAAATGGCGTCTAGATCGCCTTCTTCAGCGGAAAGCTCGTGAAGGAGTCAAGATCTTTGTCATCATGTACCGCAACATCAACTCTGCCATCCCTATCGATTCGGAGTACTCCAAGTTTTCCCTCTTGGATTTGCATCCAAACGTCTTCGTGCAGCGATCACCAAATCAATTCCGACAGAACACCTTCTTTTGGGCGCACCATGAAAAGCTCTGTATCATCGACCACACCTTGGCTTTTGTAGGAGGCATCGATCTTTGCTTTGGCCGTTGGGACACACCACAACATCTCCTCACCGACGACAAACCCACTGGGTTTGAGACCCCGGATGGACCGAAGGATGCGGATCATTGCCAGCTCTGGCCAGGCAAGGACTACTCGAATCCTCGTGTTCAGGATTTTTACGACCTCGACAAGCCCTACGAGGAGATGTACGATCGAAACGTAGTTCCCAGGATGCCCTGGCATGACATTTCCATGCACGTCGTCGGACAACCGGCTCGAGATCTTACGCGCCACTTTGTTCAACGGTGGAACTACATCTTGCGCCAGCGAAAGCCAACACGCCCCACGCCATTTTTGTTACCGCCGCCAGATTTCGAGCCGGCTGATATGGAAGCCCTGGGTCTGGATGGTACCTGTGAGGTCCAAATCTTACGTTCGAGTAGTATGTGGTCGACTGGAACCCCCGACATCACGGAGCATAGCATTATGAATGCTTATGTTAAGCTGATCGAGGAGTCTGAACACTTTGTATACATCGAGAACCAGTTCTTTGTAAGCACCTGTGAAATTGATGGTCGGAAGATTGAGAACTCGATCGGCGA